GACAGCAGACAAGATAGAGGAGAGCAGGAGGCGGGGTTTAAGGGTTTCCTCCAATTCTGAAATGACCCGTATGAACTGATTGCTTTGTTAAAACTAAAACATGTTATATTATCTTTATCTTTACATGAACTGGGTAGAAGTATGCAATATTACCAACATCCAGCAGGGGGCAGCAAATACTGTTAAATAATATAACACTGTGTGACTCCATTCAAATATGGATCCAAAATAGTCAGGAAAGTGATTTATATGTAGAAATTAAATGTATTCTGACCATCCATCATTTAAAAACACTGTTAAAACCCACAGCTTGCTTTTTCCTGCATATTTAGCGCACATATCAGGTAAAACTAAAATCATTTATCTTAACAAAACACTTGATTTGAGCAGCAAAGCTGATAAAAACACAGCGGTGGGAGCTTCATGGTTTGGGCTAAATTAGAGCAGTGGTTCCTGCATAGATAGTGTTGTAAAGAACATATTTTATGTAAACTGACAAGAAAAAGAGGAACAAGTAAAGCAAAAACTTTGGTTCATAAGAGTTTATTTACCATCCCGTAAGAGCCATATCTTACAGAAGAAATAGAATAACAATGTTTAATAAGCCTCCAAAGCAAATTTTGCCGAATTAATACTCTCAGTAGAAATTTTGAAAATTTTCCAAGTACATCTATGCGGTCAGGTGAAATTCCATGTAAAGATTTTTTTTTTTCCATCAAATGTATGGAAGTACAACAGTCTAGTTGATATCTGCGTCTTTTTTGTACACAAAAATTTTAAACAAGGAATTTTTATCTGGTGAAAAATCGGCTGCAAAAAAAAAAAAAAAATGCCTGCAAAAAATTCAGCTGCAAAATATCTGCAGTTGAATTTTTTGCAGGCATTTTTTTACCAGACATAAACTCAGTGTAAGGAATTCAATTTGAAAAAAAAAAAAAAACATCAGTCTTTAAAATTCTGTGTACAAAAAAAAGGCAGTTTTTCTTCCATACAAATGTAATACAATATAAAATGTAATATTTTTCTGCATAGAAACGAATAAATGGAATCAATAAAATCTATGCTTTACATTTAAACTCCTGGCTAACAAAACATTAAATGTGACACAAATCAATAAGGAATGTTTGAAACCCTGAACTCATCGTTTGGCCACTCAGGCTGGGATCTCAGAGGGACACATCGTCTGTCCCTCAGACAGAAACTCCACCATGGTTACTAGACGCCTCCAAGGCAAAAAGAAGCATCTCTATGAGGCCGTTTGTCTCCTCAGTAAACTATTTTCATCCCAGTCCAGCTGATCCCTGCTGATTCAGACAGGTTCTAAACTGAAGCCCCTCCTGCGTTTATTTGTTTCAACTGTCCTTGTTTTGAGGCCACAAGACAAAAAAAAAAAAAAAACATAAATACAGACAGGCTTTGAAAGCTGTAATCTTTTAATAATCAAATTATTCATAACAAAATGAAGAAATGCATCAGTCAGGCGTTGGTAGGACGCACACAATACTGATTTTCTGAGTAAATTTTCAT